GAAATGATAGTGCCAAACTCAAACTGAGTTCTTGTATTTCTAAATGTTAACAAAATGCCATTATGTCCTGTACCAAGTACTTTTACACAAAAATTAGTGAGACTCCCTACTCACAAGGAGGTTGAAACAATTTTTACTTCAATATTTAGACTGATCACATACTTAATTTAAGCGTGAAAGTACACAGAAGCAGAAAACATCATCCTTGGCTTTGAGGAAACCTCAAAGGTTTACAGCAGTTAAAAAAAGCAAGACTTAAGGGAACAGAAAGTAAGCCTGAAGTCAGGAGCCATGTCTTATCATGTCTTACGGTATTTATAGCTGGTACAACTAGAAGGTAATGTTCGGTCGGTAAATATTTGTTGGTTGACTAAATGTATTGATCAAACCTTCTAGACAGGAAATAATATTAGATCCCATTCATTTTCCCCAGTAGCTAAACTTTTATCTGTGACCAAAGAATCAGCCAAATCATCAAATAGCTCTTATACAATGTAACCAAGAAAGTTCAGGCACCACTTCTGGGCTACACCTATGACTAAACGTATTTCACAGAAAAATAAAAATTTTTAACTACATTCTATTACAAAGCTGCCAAAAGGTTATGAAACAATTTCCAGAACTGAATCCAATCCAAATGCTACAAAATATAACTATCATTCACTCTTGTTTTATTCTGAATTGAACACATCCTCTGCTTCTATAACAAATAATTGTTCATAACATTTCTCATCGGTAGTGCTTTTTTGTGTGTGTTGTTTCCTTTAGCTATCTTATCAATACACTTTTCTTAAGGTCTTTTATTTTTATATATTTTTTAGTATCATTCTTGACTTTGAGGTCTTTTATTTTTTAATATTAACAATCACTTATCTGCCACATATAACACTAAGGGAGAACAAAACGTGAATGAGAGTATAAAAATAAACTCGGTTTACAAAGTACAATTTTATATCCTGCCACACACAACTTCATTCCAGAGTCTGCATGCCCTATTGTCCAATCTATTCAGTGACAAGACATTAGCACTGGAGCCCCAAGGACTGCAACTTTTGTTGGCAAAAGCCTTGCATGGGTCAAAATAATTTTTCAACCTTTGATTAAAAAAAGCCCAAAAGGACCAAGCTTAAAATTTTAGTGGGTGGTTGCATGTTAGATATGTTTAGCCCTAAACTCAAATAAAAAGGGAAGTTGACAGTAAACTAGTCAATGCAAAGAACTTACAAAAGCATAAGCCCAGAAATTACATGCAATGCCTAGTCTATAAAATACCAAGGAGGCATTACTGTTTACACCAGAGCGACAGGGCTTTCTTGAGCAGTTATATATACCAAAGGTTTAGTACAGTTAAAGAAGTCTGTCATAAATTGCCTCAATATGCCATAAACGTGGATATATTCTAGGTTAAATTATGTGGGTACTACAGAAAGAGACGTGAGAGAAACTAGCACAATGCCTGCACATTGTCGCATCTGACAGTAGGAAATAAACAGCCAGTTATGAAACAAACTCAATTCTTAATGCTGGAAACAGAATAAGGCTCCATTCTTTTTGGAGAATAAAGACACTAATCATTTAAAACAGATGGACTTTGCACCAACAATGTGAATATGCTTTACAGTACTGTACACTTAAAAATGGTTAAGATGTTAAATTTTATGTTATATGTTTTGGAAAGGGTGAATTGTTGGGTTTTCTGTTTTTTTAAACAGAGACAGTATCACCTATGCTGGAGTGCAATGGCCCAATCATAGCTCGCTCCATCCTTCAACTCCTGGGCTCAAGCGATCCTCTCACCTCAGCCTTCCTAGTAGCTGGGACTACAGGTGTGTGCCACCAAGCCCAGAAAATTAAAAAAAATTTTTTTTGGTAGAGATGGGGTCTTGCTATATTTCCCAGGCTGGTCTCAACTCCTGGCCTCAGGTAATCCTTCTGCCTCAGCTTCCCAAAGTGCTGTGATTACAGGTGCGAGCCACTGCACCCGGCTATATTACCTGATTTTTAACAATTAAAAGAAAAAAAAACCCCTTTAAATTAGCTTTAAATTTCCCTTGAATTTTTAAATGAATAGATATATGAGTTATTGACTACCTACCATATATACCTGTTACCATGGAGATGGAGATAAAATATGGATAAGACCTAATTCCTCTTTTCAAGAAGCTCAAAGTTTAAAGAGAACCAAAATTCTAAACTTTTTTTTGTTTTTGTTTTTGTTTTTGAGACAAGGCCTCACTCTGTCACCCAGGCTGGAGTGCAGGGTGCGATCACAGCTGACTGCAGCCTCGACCTTCTGGGCTCAAGCAATCCTCCTACCTCAAACCTCTTGAGTAACTGGGACCACAGGCATGGACTACCACACCTATTTTTTTTTTTTTTTTTTTTTGGCAGGGGGTGCAGGGAAAGACAGAGATCATGTCTATGTTGCCTAGGTTGTTCTCAAACTCCTGGGTTCAAGTGATCCTCCTGCCTCAACCTCCCAAAGTGCTAAGATTACAGGCATGAGTCACAGCACCCTACCTAAAATCTCCTTAAAAACAAAAATTGATAATAATTTTGGATCACCCAAAGGAGGTAAGTAAGCAGCCATTTACCTATCCTTTATTAAATACATTACCTATCTCTTCCCCCTCCTTTCTCTCTGCAGGCTCTAATTGTATTTTACTTTACTATTTTTTCTTTTCTTCTTTTTTTTTTTTTGAGATGGAGTCTTGCTCTGTCACCCAGGCTGTAGTGCAGTGCTGTGATCTCGGCTCACTGCAAACTCCGCCTCCTGGATTCAAGCGATTCTCCTGCCTCAGCCTCCTGAGTAGCTGGGATTACAGATTCGTGCCACACCCATAATTTTTGTATTTATGGTAGAGATGGCAGTTGCGGTGGCGGGGAGGGGGAGGCGGTTCACCATGTAGACCAGGCTGGTCTCAAACTCCTGACCTTGTGATCCACCCTCCTCAGCCTCCCAAAGTGCTGGGATTACAGGCATGAGCCGCTGTGCCCGGCCTCTAGTTGTACTTTAAAGTCTCTGATGCTTAACATGAAAAATTCTGGGATTCAAACAGATTTGCTAGCCACTATCAAATGGCCGCACCTTGTGTGCCTGAACAATTGCTCCTGGGCATCCTTGAACAGAAGAGGTATTTCAAATTAGAGGGAAGAGCAAATCCAGTCTTCTGGCCTTCTCCTAAAGCAATCACCTCCATTCAATTCAATCCAACACTTAAAACTATGCAAACCACTGGGACAAATTCGTCAAAAAGCCATCTCAATTTCAGTCCTGATTATCTTCTCTTTTCTGGGCTCTTATAAAACCTGTGGTCTATGCCCTATGAGTTGCTCTTAATCAGAGTATTCTTTGTATTGTTTGCAAAGAGTTCTTTCTTGTGCCACTGGAAAATAAGTTTAAAAATAATGAAATCTTCCTATTTGCCCAAAAGAACAGGTTAATGCTTAGTAATTCTGCTACTGAATGAAATATATTTCATTAAAATATATTTATTGAGTATCTCCCATGTGTCACCAATGAACAGATTTGTAGAAGTAGAATTTAAAATTAAAAGTTTTAATAATGGAATCATCCTATTTCAAGCCCTGTCCTCTTGATTTCGCTCTCTTTTATTAATTTATTCTTTTTTTCAAAAAACCAAGGTGGGGTCTCGCTATGTCACCCAGGCTAATCTTGAACAACTGGCCTCAAACAATCCTACAGCCTTAACCTCCCAAACTGCTGGGATTACAGGAATGAGCCATTATACCTGTCATTGTGCTCCTCTCAACACACTCGAGCTGATAAGACTTTGGCATTCAAACTATGAAAATCCATTTCCAAAATTCAAAGAATTAGTTAACAGTAGTACACATCTCCCCAAAGATGCCCTTATACAATAAGCTTCTGCATGATCAGATGTAGAGGCACAATGATTCCTATTTTTTTTTTTTTTTAGACGGAGTCTCACTCTGTCACCCAGACTGGAGTGCAGTGGCGCAATCTCAGTTCACTGCAACCTCCACCTCCCGGGTTCAGGCAATTCTCTCCCTCAGCCCCGAGCTGGGACTACAAGCATGCATCACCACATCCAGCTAATTTTTATATTTTTAGTTCCAACAGGGTTTCGCCATCTTGGCCAGGCTGGTCTTGAACTCCTGACCTCATGATCCACCTGCCTTGGCCTCCCAAAAGTGCTGGGATTATAGGCATGAGCCACAGTGCTTGGCCAATTCCCATAATTTCTGAGGTAGCATTCATATCACATCTGCAAAGAACAAACAGTATCTCTTGAATCTGAGAGAGCTAAAAAATGAACGCAGTTGGTTGGTTTCCAACCAGTGAGAACTCAGAAGACAAAATATTAGTATTTTTTTTTTAGATCCAAATGACTGGTATAAATACAGTAACAAATGCAATGGAAACTTTAAACCATACATTTTCTATACCTTTATAGGAACTGAGAACTGTTCTGCTCAGAGAGCCCTAAGAAACCTCCGCTTTCATTTTATGTTTCATGGGGGTTAATTTTTCTTTCTACCACTACATAGATTTCTTATCACACAGCAAGAGCCAGGGCACAACTTCAGGGTGAATTTAAAAGGACAAAAATTAAATTCTGCTGCTGAATGATTCTCTTTATAATACTGAAGCCACAACACAACATTACTAAATAGCACAAAGAAAGCACACTCTGATATTCTGCATTCCTTTTACTCCACCCACCCAACACCTCAATCAAAAAAAAAAAAAAAAAAAAATTAAAATAGTCTGGGCCACACAGTATGTTTGACTTGAAAGTTTCGATTACAGCAGCTTACTCTTGCAAATTATTGGCATATATAGAGGCTTAACAGTGACTTAAAATACAGTTATAGGAAAAATAGACTATTCTAAGGGGAAAAGGCAGTGGGGGAACCCAAGCACTTTTTTAAAAAACATAACAAATATATTCAGGTACAAGACCCACATCAGAAACGGTTTTCTTTCTTTTTCTTTGGTAAATGTAAACACTTACCCTGAAGAGATTTTCCCAATCCCTGGCCCAGCTTCCACCCATGTTTCTGGAGTAAGCGGTGTCCAATATTATCCTGACAGATAGAACAGAAAGACAAACCAAAAATATTCCAATAATATATTCTTCCCTTCCTAGAGACATTAAAACAGATGATGAGCAAGAGATAATTCTACATATATGCATGCAAAAAGGTGCTAATAATAGAGTAAATGTGCCCAATAAGAGGGACATTAATGTAAAAAGAAAAGCTGGCTAGTATTTTATATGGGAAAACATATGGGGTACGGGTCCTTTCTGATGGTGTGCTGGGCAACTTTTGCACATAACATTTTAAAATGGAGAAAAAGGGGAAAGGGAAAAGGGGAAGAATACATTTATGAAGTTTTAAAATAACATTAAAAAGCATAAAATCAAGGTACTTATACAGTCATATCCACCACCTAAACAGCACCACTTTAAGTTTTGTGTTTTTTTTTTGTTTTTTAAGAAAATCTACATTGTGTTTAGTTGTTTTGTTTATGTGTCAGGCTTTCATGATACAAAGTAAGTTGTAAGTGTAAGACTGCCCCACCACTAGAAATGAAAAAACAATCAGAGCAAAATCCAGGCTAGACTTGATTGGTTTAAAAAATAATAATATATATATAATATAAATATTTAACTAGCATGCAGCCAATATTAAACTGAAAAAACAGTGAGGTTAGTAAAACAAGAAATTAAGTTGATTAAACAGAAAAATAAAATGAGCTCAAGCACAGACTGAGTGATGCATTTCAACATGTAGTCTAACAAAAATGCTAAGATGTTAGAATGAAACAGGCCTAGCAATAAGTTAACAGTAAAGAACCATTAGTGCATGTAGGGGGAGAAACCAACATACATAATGTCTCATCTTCTCAGGAGCACACTGGAAAAGGTATTTCAATGTAAACTGCATGAAAGAAATGCTAGAAACAACAATTAAATGTCAGCTTTTGTTTAAGGGGTCAAGCTATTGGAAACATCTGCAGCTTTGTCCAGTTCTTTACTTTTTATAGTTACTGTGAAGTACTAAGACAAGGCTAAAATAAACACTAACTATACCTGAAAAAATGATGCTATTCATCCAAAGGACAACACTGAAAAATTCTAAACACAAAGTATTCTATATATATTAAAATGTAATTTATAGTAATTAATCTAGAAAAGATTCAAAGTTGCAATATAAGTAATGTTAGCAGAAAACAAAGGTAAACCATTTGAAAATCTTCTTGATTTTTGAAATCAATTTATTTCTTGAAATCAATTTATCAAGCTTACCAAACCACAAATTTCTGCATTAAAACCAAATATTGCACATTAAACTGTCTTATATCTCCACATTCAATGATAAAATGCTCTGTGGACTCATAGAGGAAAGAAAAACATTTTTTTTTTACTGTTATCTTCTCAGAAGTTAGAAGAAGATTAAGGCTTCCAAATGCTCTAGGTTTTTTTTTGTTTGTTTGTTTTTTTAAGGACAATTTTCTTCTACAAGTTTATGATAGCATGCAACCTGGAAAACTGGGTTAAACAGCTGATTATTTCATTGATGTCATTGATGGGGCAAAACCAGGACCTTTTTTTTTTTTTTGATACAGGGTCTTACTCTGTTCCCCAGGCTGGTGTACAGTGGTAAAATTCTCCAGGGCTCAGGCAATCCTCCTACCTCAGCCTCACAAGTAGCTGGGACTATATGGGCACACACCACTGTGCCTGGATAATTTTTTAAATTTTTGTAGAGACGAGGTTTCACTATGTTGCCCAGGATGATCTAGAACTCCTGGGCTCAAGCAATCCTCCCTCCTCAGACTTTCAGAGTCCTGGGATTACAGGCATCAACCCAGGATACTTTTTTAAAAACAAAAACTGGAGGCAAATTATAATGAAAAATTGGTTTGTAAAACAAAACATACATTGTTTTAAATATACATATAAAATCATTATGGCGTACAAAGTTTGCTGCAAGTTATTTTTGTGTCATACAATCTGAAAGAATTAGAAACACTACTGATTCCAAGGGATGACTTCCACATTACTACACATCACAAAAGCTTAATACAACACTACTGCTGCTGAGGCTTCTTCCCTTCTCCCCCACTAACTGAACTGTCAGGAAAAGCATTCCCTTACCCAGTGCTCAGTGTCTATTTATAACTTTATTACCTCCTAAAAAAGAAAAGATTAAAAATCTCAATATAAGTAATGTTAGCAGAAAACAAAGGTAAACAGGCCCTTATATTGCTACTAACTTACCTGTGCAGAAAATCCTTATTTCATATCATAATTCCTACAACTGAATAATTCTAGAAAGGACAACAATGGCAGAATGACTCTGAGAGTATATGGTTTATTAAGTAATTGTTTAATCTCTTAATAGACGCATGTTGTAACTATATTTGGCACCAAAATTTAGGTATTAAACAATGCTGACAAAAATTGTTGCTCCCCCCCCCCATTTTGTTGTTTTTTAAAGAAAACTCAATCTTTGGCTAAGCGGAGATGAGACATTATGCTGACTGTGTTATATTATGAATGCACTAAAATAAACAGACAGATGAAGCAGTATGCTATTTCCAAAAGCAGTGCAAGTGGAGTGAAAGCATTTCCATACGAACCTGGCTTTAAAAACTGGGCTGTCAAAAGAACAGTTAAATGTAACACAAAGTAAGAAACTGTCCAATCACTAATGGTCGTTTTTTTTTTTTTTTTTTTTTTTTTTTTTTTCAATTCACTGCTTGCAAGTAATGTATTTATTAAAGAGTGAAAGCATAAGTAAATTCACGAGTCAAGACCAGCTGAGAGATTCAAGAGCAGCGTGTTGTGACTGACAACAGTGAAAGGAAAAGCAAATGTTAAAGGGAGAGGGAGAAAAAAAGAAAAAAATTAAGGTTATACACATTAGCACCACTTTTACAAAACCACTCAAGAGGATGGCTGTCACCTTCTCAGAAAAAAATTATTGACAGAATATGGTAGTGGCATTTCTCTTCTAAAACTTTAGGTTAAAACTGTTCTTTAATTAAATCCACTTTCTCAGGGTCTGTAATAAAATATTTAACACACCACTTTAAGTCCTTCCAATCACAACAAAGGCAACAGAAACAATAGACACAACTCCCAGACTCTCCTTCCCTCACCAACCTCCTGGGGTAAATAAATGACCAACACAGAAAATCTGGACCCTTCCTATCATTTCAAACTACCTGTTTTTGTAGGAAAAAAGGCAGCTCTGTGACTCTGCAGAAAGGGCTAGCATTCAGTACGGTCCCTCTTCCTAAGAAAAAAGGTTTTATAAACACTCATCAAAAATCCAATAGGCCTAAGGATGATGGGTAACACAAGGAGGCACAACAAAATAATTTGTAACAAAGTAAAACAAACCAGACTTGTCTGCCTTTGAAATGATCAAAACTTTCTCTGTGAAAAGAACAAGAAATCCAATAACCAGTCTGTGGGAAACAAGCAATCTATTCTCTCTGTTTAGGACTGTGATTTTTGCCAATTATTTCCATGGATGCTTTTTTTTTTTTTTCTCTCTTCTTCTTCTTCTTTTTTTTTTTTTTTTTTTTTTTTTTTTTTTTTTTTTTTTTTTTTTTTTTGAGACGGAGTCTCACTCTGTAGCTCAGGCTGGAATGCAGTATGCAATCTCAGCTCACTATAACTTCTACCTCCTGACTAGCTGGGACTATAGATGTGTATCACCATACCAGGCCAATTTTTTTTTGTATTATTAGTACAGACAGGGTTTCACCATGTTGGCCAGGCTGGTCTCAAACTCCTGACCTCAAGTGATCTGCCTGCCTTGGCCTCCCAAAGTGTTGGGATTACAGGCATAAGCCACCATGCCTGGCCCATGAATGCTATTTATAACATTAAGCTGGCACGAGTAGCTTATGGCTGAAACAGGTAATCTAGACAGAACAAGGGAAATAAACACTAAATTTTTTTGTTCCTTTTATTTTTTTTTGAGACAGGGTCTTACTCTGTCACCCAGGCTGGGGTGAAGTGGCACAGTCACAGCTCACTGGATCCTTGACCTGCAGGCTCAAGTGATAGTCCCACCTTGGCCTCCCAAAGTGCTGGGATTACAGGTGTGAGCCACCATGCCCAGTCAATTTATTTCCAAAGTAATTATTTTTAAAAATAATTTTTTAAAAAGTAACTCTTTAATTTCAATTACTATAATAATGACTAAAAATCTTTTGACTTTTGTTTCTTAAATAAAATATATAATTTGGGATTTAATTATAATCTCATAGAACCAAAAATAAATTACAGAAATTTTTTTCTTTGTAAAAACTCTGGTTAACAACTAATAAAGTTGCACGATAGAGGTAGGCTGCTTATATATTTTTTTCTTCTCAAGTCAACTTGATATAATTTAAATGTTGATGGGAGAATTGCAAATAACTTATTTATTATGTAGAAAAGCTGGTTTTCTACATAATTATGCATTCTCACAAACCACCTATTTGTTTTCTTTCTCTGCTCAAGACCCCAAAATGGTGGTTGTGTGGCTTGTTCTTTGGTTGGAAATGAAGTTCTTCTAATTCTGATTAAACCATGAAGCTAAGCTGAAAACTCAAACTTTATCACCTTTTCTCCCCCTGTTCCTAGACATAAATATATCATTAAAATGCTGCATTTTTTATCATTTGTTCTTCTCTAATAAACATGTGAGAAAAGGGATACAATTTTTAAACAGGAAGATCTTTGGTGAAAATGAGAAATCTGTATTATAAACAACTACCAATATGCTAAAAACACAATACCAGCAATTTAAAAATACTTCACTATTAACTGTTTTACACATTCCTCAACATTTTTATTTGTTAATTAAATACCAAGTAGAAACTTTCTGCTCCATGAAGCTGTATGCCACCACGGTTAACAACGATCATTTTGGCAACAGCACCACCAATGTACATGATGGGAGGCTGCCAAAATACAAGAAAAAATTTACTTTTCTGTATAAAGCTGGCTGCAAGTTTTAGAGTAGGAAACAGCTTATTATGTCTCAAGAGAAAACTATGCTACAGGTATGTCCATGACTGGATGAATATTAATTCTATACTCAATTTTGTTTTAGTTGACAGCCACATTTAATTTATATCATTTAGCCCAATTTCAAGTGACAAAATAGTAAGTCTCTTGAGTGGATTGTAAGCTTTGCTGATTGTGTATTAAAGATATAAGCAAGAACCAATGCTACTAGGTGAACCCATGCAAACAAGTTGTAAAAATTCCCCCCAAAAAAAAAATCTATAGCTCACTACAGATGACACAATGAAGACTAGAGAGAAAAGCTATATAGTAATGCTACACCATTCAGCTCCAAGAAGCACATTATTTATAGTGCAGTCCACATATGGTCACTGCTAAATGTCAAATCAGCAGTCTTATAGAGTTACAGTTTGGAACTAGTGGAGTCCACAGATCTAGACAGATATGCAACATGACAAAACCCAATTATACAGATACTTCCAAATCCTTAAGATGTACAAATGAAACAACAGCAACTGGAGCTTGAAGCTTACACTAATTTTTAAACCTGTTAGGTCATCCTGACAACCATAAAGAAAGAATTTTAATCAGTCAGGTAGAGCAAGGACCAACTAATGGCTGATGGGTAGTTGCACTTCCAATCACAACAGTAACAACATGTTTTAAGTCTATGATGCAGGCACTTTGCCTTCTATATAGCTTAAGGTCATTCTCCAGTCTGATTCCTCATATTCTTCTTCTTTTCTTTTTTGAGATAGAGTCTCGCTCTATTTCCCAGGCTGAAGTGCAATGGCACAATCTCGGCTCACTGCAACCTCTGCTTCCCCAGTTCAAGCAAATTCTCCTGCCTCAGTCTCCTGAGTAGCTGGGATTGCAGGCACACGCTACCACGCTGGGCTAACTTTTGTATTTTTAGTAGAGACAGGGTTTTACCATGTTGGTCAGGCTGGTCTTGAACTCCTGACCTCGTGATCCGCCCCCACAGGCCTCCCAAAGTGCTGGGATTACAGGTGTGAGCCACCATGCCTGGCCTGATTCCTCAGCTTCTAACTATGATAAAGGCCACAAAGGACCATATATCCTAAATAACACCAACTAATTCTTCTGTGATAGAATCCTAGACAGAGCTATGGCTTTAGATCAAGTTTTGTTTTCTAAATATTTTGTCTTTAAATACGTGGAGGTTATAACATTTGGGACCTAAATATCTCATAAAGCAATAACAATTTTTAAAACTTAAATTCAAAAAATTTTTCATAATAAAAATAAAATGTTAATACTTTCCAACTTGTTTTTAATAGAGATAAACAAGTTGTTTAGCAATTCTTCCATAATTTTCTTTAAAAAATTTTTTTTCATGAGGAAAAACTTCATTGAAAGGTATGTGACTGAAGTAAAAAAGGGAAGACAAACTTTTCAAAAAAATTATGAAATGCTTTACAAATGCTGGATTTTGATGTACTTTAAACATTTACCTATTAAAATTGAAATATCAATATCTCACTAACAAATCTAGGCTTCAGAAGTTCACTAAAAGCATAACACATTATTGCATCTTCATATCTCATTTCCCATCTTGCTGGTTTGCATCAAATTTAGCCTACTACAAAATAAAAAGTCCTTAATCCTATACTCACAATAACCCTTCACATAGGCATATTCTTGGCACAAACCTGTGCAGAGACTTCCATGGTTACCAGCTGCTGCAGATTACCTTTGGTTAAAAAAAAATGACTAGACCTTTAGCTCCTGCAATGATCTGTAGACTCCCAAAGCTGCATATTTCCAGCCACTTTTGAGTTGCATGCTGTAGCAAAACAGTCAGCACCTCTCAATAGATATTGCTGCAGAGAAAGATTTTAATTCAGCACTCTTTCTGTGTTAGAAGCAACACCATTTTCCCCTAAAAACAAAACCACTTAACAGAGCCAGCCAGCCATATAATTAAATATTCACTTATTATTTGGTGGGTATTCCTTAGGTGATAGGGGGCTTCTTTTGCTTGGTGGGAGGGAGGGAACACTACCTACTTTGATGCCAATCACTTAGGAGTTTCTCTTAAAACTTTAAATTTTCTGTGACCAAAAAAACGTTCAAAAAAAATGTTAAAGAAAGAAAGAGAACACTTAAAATGTTACTCCCAAATGATCAGGCAACAGAAACAAGATCCCTCTTATCCTATGTGTCCTACTTATTTTTTTTTTCTTACATCTTTGTTTAGTCTCCCAGATCCTGTGTCCCACTTCTATCTAACACAATGTAGGTTATGAAGCTGTCTCCTACAAACTAAACTACCGTATCACAAATAATGCATATATTTATCTTTCAGAAGTAAATTTTCATTAGAAGTGTAATGATTAATATACATTTCTAAACATGCATTTATTTATTTAAAAAAATTAAATATCCATCCTGAGTACTATATACTATTTGCTATTTTAAGTGCAGAAGGTAGCTCTATTTAATAAATAAGGCATATATCAATTCTACTCCTACTTTAAGGAAATTATTCAACAACGATTACTCAATTAGGCTGCCTCTGATAGTATTCTCCCTAGGATATGTGCTAGAAAAAGTCCTGGACATTGTTGAGAGGTAAAGTAGCATTAGCCTCATGTGCCACAGGAACAAATTTTCGAAAAATCAGTAATAATGAATACTAGGTTGCAAATTTCATCTAATTAAATTTCCTGCTACTGTTGAGTATCCACAGAATTATAGCTTGCATAAGAATATTAACCAACCATGCACCTTGTAGAATATGGTAATGGGGAGTTGATTCTGACAGCTCTGTTCTTAAACTGTGACCTTCCAATTTTTTTAATTAAAATGAAAATATTATTTTTCAAATATAAGATACTGTCTAGCCTACAGATTTCATTATAAAATTTTGCCTTTATTGTGATAATCCCCAAAATAATACAGAGCAAGGCACAAACCACTGATTTTTAACTTAGCAAAGTGGGCTTGGCATTTTATCCTTATATCAAAACACAAGACTAAGCTTTCAGTGAAAATCTGATGAGAATTCTCCCTCTGCAGCATTATCACATGCGTCATCAATAACTGCCATGCCTAAGTCTAGCATCATGCCAGCACATTAAGACAGAAGGTACTATATGCAGTGTTCACTGGACCAGAAAGACAGAAATAAGAAAGGGAGGTGGGGAGAAAGAAACCCTAGAGAAGAAATTAAAAAAAGGCAGACCGTGCAATACAAACCAGATCATGGCAGCTTAGCTAATATGGGCCAACTGCTGTGGAAGAAAAATGTCGAACACCCCAAGTTGTGTAAATTTCTGTAAACATCTAAACACACATACAAACACACACAACACCAACCTAATTAGGAACATAAATATATGTTGATCCTTTACTATGTTACAGTTTTGAAAATAAAAGCTAAAGTTAAAATATCTATATTCTCTAAATTGCCTTCTTATTTTCCTGAGAAAGAAGCTAGTATTTCTTAAGGAGAAGGGGGGCTTGTCATGACGGTTATAAAGATTAAGATTCCCTTTTTGACTTTTTTTCCCCACTCAAGTTTTACCAATAACTCACTGAAACCCTTATTAAATATGTACACTTAAGCACAAATAGTAAATGCTGACAATGACAAGTTTAGACATTTTAACAATGGACTGTGTTATTTAAAAATCACGGGTTTCTCAAAATGAAAATAATGTTCAAAAATTAAGAAGTTTTTTTAAAACTAAGAGCCCAGTAAATAAATCTCCTTGTTCTATTACTTGATATTATCAGTGCCCAAAACTAAGCATTGTGAAAAGATAGAAAAAATCAGCTATTGACAAAAACCAGACATTTCTTAAGCTACAGAGACCAAATTTGCCATGTTTCACAAGAGTCTGGTAAATAAAACACATAATTCCTTAACTGTTTCTTATATAACTGAAAAAAATTTTTTCCCATACATATTCTATTTATGTACGAACATTTCATACATAATTACACTGCCTGGGAAAGGTGAAGCTATAAAAGGATCAAAATACATTTTACTCCTTTATTCAATTCACAAAATGCTAAACTTTAACTTGCTACCTTCAACAAAGTATCAGTATGGGCCAAAAAGATATTTTTCCATCAAAATTCTAATGTTTCTAGATTTTTTTGGACTGATTTCCCAACATATTAAATATGAGATTATATCCCAAACTCTATTTGGCATGCAAGAAAACAACTCTAAACTATACTACTGGTTATTAATAAGTTTAACTTCATTCACATCAAGTGTCACACGAACACTACCTAACTAACTGGCTAAGACCCAAAATTACGCACTGATTATCTTACCGATTCAATAGGCTTGTCAAGTGATGCTTGTTCAATTTCCAAGTGTCCTTCCTCATACTGATCAAAGTGATTACCCTGAAAAAAGATGATTACAGTTATTTTTCAAAAGCAGTTAAGTGTCAAATTTATTAATAGCCTAACCAAACTAAACGTTATTTTTAACATTTATTTATTTATTTACTAAAAGGACACTACAATCATTCTTTTTCAGTAGACAATCAAAACCACACCACAAATTCCAACTTGTAAAAAATTTATAAAAATGGGCCGGGTGCAGTGGCTCACACCTGTAATCCCAACACTGGGAAGCCACGGCAGGTGTATTACCTGAGGTCAGGAGTTCAAGACCAGCCTGGCCAATATAGTGAAATCCTGTCTCTANAAAAAAAAAAAAAAAAGATTCACTCTTGGTGTAGTTCTATGAGTTTTGACAAATGTACAGTGACATTTATCTACCTTTATAGCATTACAGAGAATAATTTCACTGCTCAAAAAATCCCTGGTGACTACATATTTATCCCTTTACTTTCTTCCCCTCAAACTCCTGGCAACCACTGATCTTTTTACTGTTTCCACAAATTTGCCTTTTCCAGGATGTCATATATTTGCCACTATTGTGTAGCCTTTTCAGATTTGCTTCTTTCACACATTCTTGAATATGTATCCAAGGTTCTTCCATGTCTTTTCCTGGCTTGATGGCTTTCTTTTTAGTGTTGAATAATATTCCACTGTCTTGTATATCACAGTCTACTTATTCATTCATCTACTGAAGGACATCTGGACTGCTGCCAAGCTTTGGCAATTACAAATAAATAATGCTATAAACATCATGTTTTGGTTTTTTGTGTAGACTTAAATTTTCAGCTCCTTTGGTTAAGTAGTAAGGAGTGTCATTGCGAGATTGAATGGTACAGATAGGTTTAGGTTTGTAAGAAATTGCTAAACTGTCTTTTCTCTTTCTCTTGATGGTGTCTTCTGCAGAACAGAAGTTTTAAATTTTAATAAAGTCTAACCTACCAATTATTTCCTTCATGGGTGTGCCTCTGGTTTTCCATCTGAAAAGTTATCACCAACTCCAGTGACACTCAGTATTTTGTTTACTTTCACTTGGTGTTCCTGTCACTGTGATGAGACTACATTTATTTTGGGGGTAGGTGAAAAATGTTTTGCACTTCACTGCCAGGGATTACTTGTGGTTGTTGTTAATACCTTACTTTTGTGGGAATTGATGGTATTTATGTTTTTGTGTTAACATTAAAGAACCAGCTTTTTTAAATAGGGTAACTTTAATTCAGCTTAAATCTGTAAATTTGTGAAATTTTAGACCAAGAAATGACATGAAAGAGTGTCTAGTTCAAGTTCTTCATTTTCCAAATGAAGGTACAAAGAATAAGAAATATGACATGATCTGCATGAGATCATACAGTGAATTATTAATGAAGACAGAACTTAGAATTGCTAACCATGTTAAAGAACTGAGATAGGCTGGGTGTGGTGGCTCATGCCTGTAATCCTAGCACTTTGGGAGGCCGAGGCGGGCAGATCATGAGGTCAAGAGATTGAGACCATCCTGGCCAACATGGTGAAACTCTGTCTCTACTAAAAATACAAAAATCAGCTGGGCATGGTGGTGCGCACTTGTAGTTCCAGCTACTCAGGAGGCTGAGGCAAGAGAATTGCTTGAACCTGGGAGGCAGAGGTTGCAGTGAGCTGAGATCATGCCACTGCACTCCAGCCTGGGTAACGGAGCGAGACTGTGTCTCAAAAAAAAAAAAGAGAAAGAAAAAAATTATAAAAATGTATTAGGGCCAGACACAGTGGCTCGCACCTTCAATCCCAGCACTTTGGGAGGCTGAGGACAAGAGCTCAAGACCAGCCTGGGCAATACAGTGAGACACTGTTTCTACAAAAAAAATTTTTTTTAATTAGCCATACATTGTGGTATGAACCTGCAGGTCCAGCTACTCAGAAGGCTGAGATGAGAGGATCACTTAAGTCCAGGAGGTTGAGACTACAGTGAGCTATGATCAAGCCACTGCACTCCAATCCTGGGTGACAGAATGAGACCCTATTTCAACCAATACAAAACACAACTTATTAGGAATCTAGGCCTAGTAATCTGAACTTTTATTCTCCTAACAAGTGTTGAGACTGTAAACTAAAACACTATCGACCATTTGGGACACCAACTCTTTTAGACTGACTACATTAGGAAGACTGCACAACCTTATAAACAAAAAGCCATGCTGTTTTACCTTTTTTTTTTGAGACGGAATCTCACTCTCTGTAGCCCAAGCTGGAGTGCAGTGGCATGATCTCAGCTCTCTGCAACCTCCGCCTCTCAGGCTCAAGTGATTCTTGTGCCTCAGCTTCCTGAGTTGCTGAAACTACAGGTACGTGCCACTGTGCCCAGCTAATTTTTGTATTTTAGTAGAGATGGGGTTTCACCATGTTGCCCAGGGTAGTCTCTAACTACTGAACTCAGGCGATTCGCCCACCTCAGCCTCCCAAAGTGTTGCGATTATAGGTATGAGCCACTGCACCCAGCCTGTTTTACTTTCATAAGCAATATTGCATTAAATCTTTAATGATGAAGAAAACAAGTCATAGTAATGAAAATAAAACCTATATACTGCTCAATCTGCTAACATTAAACTAAACTGCTAAGACATTAAACTTTAAATCAAGTGATACCTCCCAGCTTTTCAAGGAATTAAAAATAAGCTCTTGACAGTTTCAAAAACAACTATTCCTCAAGATGATCTGCCAAGAGAGATAAACATGCCTGTACAATGCTGTATTTGATCATAATCAAGCAAGTTGTCACTGCAACTAAAAATAAGTAATAACAATTTCAACAAATAGTAGTTGAAAACAACTAAGTTCTCTCTAATCATAGTTTTCACAGATCTCCCTGCTTCATTAGGAAGGAATAGCTCATAATTTGGTTTTAAATCAAAATATCAACTTTCTAATTTCCTTCTTGTCATCAAGTATAGGGCATGAGGATTTGTGAGTCCCACAATGACCTAAATCAAAAAGACTAAAGACTTCGGTCTAGCCTAAATGAATTCAGTGTGTGGAATGATATGACAACTTCAATGTTAACCTAACAAAAAGTTACTTTGCTTTTTCAAGGTAAAATTAAAATTCTTGAATTTTAATTTTACAATTTTAAAATAATTGAATAAATTAAATTAAATTAATAAATAAATGAAATGAAATTCTTGGATTTTAATTTTATAATTTTAAAATAATTGAATAAATGAAATTAAACGATGGGGAGCTCTAACATGTAATTTGCCACATTGTAATCATAAATATTAGGTTTCTCTCACTAGACTGTGAAGTCCTTGAGGACAAGAACTGAGTCTTGTTTATCTCTTACAAACCTAATATTTAATATGCAGCTGAACACTAGGGAACAATTAGGTGCTAAAATTGTGTGGCAGTAACGAACAAGTTCTAGAACAAGATGGCGGTGGTGATGGTCATACAATATTGTTAATGTACTTAATGCCACTGAGCTGTATATTTTTATTAAGAGAAGGGGGTCTCGCCATGTTGCCCAGGCTGCCTTCAAAGTCCTGGGCTCAAGGAGCATAGCATCAGCCTCTTGACCAGCTGGAACTACAGGCGCCACACCACTACACTTGGCTTGAACCATATGCTTTAAAATAGTTAAAGTGGGGGCCGGGCGCGGTGGCTCAAGCCTGTAATCCCAGCACTTTGGGAGGCCGAGGCGGGTGGATCACGAGGTCAAGAGATCGAGACCATCCTGGTCAACATGGTGAAACCCCGTCTCTACTAA